AATAAAATAAGGAATAATTTATATAACGAATAATCACAAAAAGGCAAAAGCTAAGTTATCGAAAGTTAGTAACATCTTGGATAAAATTAAAACAACAAAAAAGGAGATGTTTACATTATTTGTATCATTATGCATGGAGTATGTAAATAATTATATCTCTGCAAAATATTTAATGGATGCTTCGGATAAAATAATTAATATCTTAGGAGATAAGATAGGCAAAATGTCACTTTAAAAAAATTATTCTGAAATTGAAAATATTAAATTAGAAAAAAATGAATATAATATATTAAATGGACTTGTTATTTATAATTTATTTGATGGTCATGTGAAATTGCTAAATGATATTGAAGAAATAAAAAGAACTTATATTGAGAACAATTTCCAAAATTATTTCAAGAACAAAAAAAATCAGATGAATGTGAACTTAACGGTGATTACAATATTACTGAGTATAAAAATCGATATAATTCTAATCTAGAATTCGAAACGACACGGGATGGATATGCAGGTTGATTTATTTTTTGTTTTAATTGTGTGTTATGGTGATGCATGCTATGCGTTTAATCGGAACAATTAGAAAATATAAAATGTGAATTTATATATAATGAAAATAAAATCGCTAATACACATAAAGAGGATCATAAGGAAAGACTATATGTATATTTTGAGAAAAATTATGATTTTGAATAGAAAATTCATATTAGTGAATAAAAAATAAAAAAAATATATTTAAAATTATATTAAAAATATATATAATATGAAAATAATTTTTTATAAATAAAAAAAAAAATAAAATCGTAAAACAATAAAATAATGTTCCAAAATAAATATAATATAAAAAATTCAAATTAAATAAAAACAAATGAAATCGTGTAATAAAATGAGCATATCTAATAAATATTATATATATTCAATAAATATATCAAAGCATAATAGATAATATGTGTCAAAATATGTAGATATATATCATGAATATATCATTATAAAAAAAACAAAAATTTAAGTAAAAAATATAAACAAAACATAAATATATGTAGTATCAATTAAAGAATTAAAAAATACACATAACATAAAATCGACGCAAAAAAATTAAAAAATAAAATCCTAAATTCTAAACACTAAACCAAGAAAACCGAAGCTAAACATTGAACCGCAATAGTAAAACTTGAACCATGAACAATAAACGTAGAGCTAAAACCTAAACAATTAAACCTGAACCCTATAACATTAAATGGCACATAAAACATAGACACTACACCCTGAAACCTAAACACTAATCCTAAAATCTGAACCCTAAACCTAAAATATATAATCGTTATAAGAGGTAGAATATTTGGTTCAATCATATAACTTATATGATTTCTAAAAAATAGATATTATATAATTAATAATTTTAATAATGTTATATTCCTATTCGTTTTTATGCATCGGATTAACTTTTTTTTCATAATATTAATATATATGAATATTTATTTAACATTATTAAGCAATGGTATCTTGCAATTAACTTAATATCCAAAGAATAAATTATTCATACAATTTTTATTCTTTGTAATGTAATTAATAATATGAGAAGTGCTGTGTTATCATATACAATTAATGGATTAATATTAAGTATTCCATATTTTGAAACGAATGATACACATTTGTATACTTTTGCTGTACGAATTGTTCTAAAAATATATATGATTATTAAGGTGATACTGATTTTTTTGTATGATTCTCAAGAGTAATGTAATTTTATCGTATAAACATTATATTTTTGAACATATTTATTAAGTATTTGATTATATAATATTTACTAATTTATATTTTAAATATCGTATGTAGTACACTTACATTTATAATTCTCAAATGTAATAATTATACAATAATATAATCTTATAAGACATGAACAACTGTCCTATGGGGGAAAATTTCATTAAATATTAAAATTCATAATAAAACAAAAGAAGATGTATGTATATCGATACTCGATTTTTTAGTGAATATATATTAATAGACACATTATTTATAAAATTAATTTTTTTTTAGATAAAATATGACACCTACTGAAATAAATAAAACGGTACCTTATTAATTTTCAAAATATATAAATTACTTAATATTACTTGAATGCTATGTAAAATTTGAGAATAAAATTTATTTTTTCATATTTCTACAATATATGGATTCATCATTATTTATATATTATTTATTAGTATATTAACTGGAAAGATTATATCCTTTTTAGAAAAATTTTTGAATCGTGGCAAATATCTACACAAATTTCTGAAGATATTGATAGATTCATTAAGGACAATTCAGTTGCCGTAAAAGACAAAGAACGGGAACATTTTATTAATATTTGTCAGATAATAAGAGAACTTTTTAATATTATGTCTTCTAATGATTCTTGTAAAAACGGAAAATGTTGTAACTATATTAACTACTATATTAGAGAACGAATTAGAGATCATTTTCATCCAAAAGAAAAGGCTATTTTTGAACATTTTACGAAATATATTGAATGTAAAAAAACTGATGAATGCTATAATACATGTATGCCGAAAATACAATATATAGAAGAAGCAGATTTTAAAAAAATGGATGAATTATATGACCTATATGAACATTATGAAACTATTTTAAATCCAGATCCAGAAGAAAATAATTCTCCTATTGAATGCAGCGATATAGATGGTTTCATTGAAGAATATAATGATATTATCCTAAAATATAATGATGATAAACCTTTCCACAAAGAGTTAAAAAATCTCAGATGCTCAATTGAATATAATGAGTTATTCAATAAAAATTGCAAGAATACGTTAACAGGAATATTAGAAAATGAAGATAATCCATGGAATAAAGATGAATGTAATGAATCTCAAGAAATACAATATTTAAAAGAATATTTAGAAAGAAAAAATGCGTACTTTAGTAAAATTACATATATTCAACCTGCTAATATGAATGTTATAATAGCATCTGCACTTAGTAGTGTATTTTTAGGAACAGTACTTTATTGTATCTATAAGGTTAAATAAATTTTTATTTAAAATTTTTTTTTCTTATACAGATAATATTATTATATATTTAAAAAAAAAAAAAAAATGGATTCATCAAATAATTTCAGTTATAAAATCAATATATATTTTTTTAATATTAGTATATTACATCAGGAAATTATTTACGAAATCTCTTTCCAAGGATGAAAAGAATGAATAGAAATATAAATGACGAAACACACCAACATGAAATGTGTAACAGAAAAGATTATCATAGGAATTTGAAAGGAAAATGTTATAATGTATCATATGTTTCAGAAAGGAAATACTAATATACATATTTAAAAAGATTATGTAACTTTTATGCAATCATAATTATATTACTGTATATAGGATAACTAAAATTAGAAAATTCCATATTCATATATGTAGGACACTAATAGTCGTACTAAAAAGATAAAGTAAAATTATATATTAAAATACAATATTAAGAAAAAAAATGATACAAAAATATATAAATTGATCTAATATATAAATAAAAAAATGAAAATATAAAATAATAATAAATATTATTTATCATGAATTTCATGTTAGTTTGAATATTTATAAAATATAAAAAAAATCTAAATTTTTACATTGTTTTAAGTTTATGACTCAGGATTTAGATTTAGAGATGTCTTCTATTATGAAAATTTTTGCTAATGTTATGATTTTTTTATTTTTTATCATTCATTTTATATCTGAAATATATATATATATTTATAACAATGATATTTGTTCTTATAAAATATTTTTCGGATGAGCGTATATGGTACTTTTTTTTTATGTGATGTATATAATAATTGGACACAAAATATACAACAAATGTGATATTTAATACTGACGTTATCATTACTACATGAATATATTTTAATAGAATAAATGCATGTGTTAATATATTTGTATATTTTACACATGTCTATTTTTATACATTTGTAGTATAAAAATAACTTACTTTTCATATTAATTTAATTTATATCATTTTACAAAAATATATATTTAAATCAGACGTTATAATATGAATTGTATATAACATTTATTCATATATCATTTTTAGTTTTTTTAAATATTTTTTGTCTATTCAATCTAGTAAAATAAGAATTTAAAAAAATAATAAGAATATAACAAAAAAAAAAATATTTTTTTGAAAGAGATGAATTAATATTAAATTTTTTTCCAGAATTAATTTAATCATAAATTAGATTCATATCTTATTCTATATATTAGTAAATATTTTTTTTTTTTTCTTTTTTTTTATCAGTCCCTAAAGGAACTAAAATTATATTTTCACTATAATAATAATAACGAAACTGTTAATAAAATTAAATATATATAGTAAATATGTTTTCTATTATAAAAATGAAAAGTATATATATATTAACACTTTTAATACTACTTTTTGATTCAAAATGTTATTACTATTATTATTTACACAATAGTTATGAGAAATTTTATTGAAATATTAATTAATATAATAGTATTATAAATTAAAAATACACCTGATATATATGTAATATATACACGTTCTAATAATAAATTGCATTACGATTTTAATTTTTATAAAAATTTGTTTTACGAGGATGATTAATTTATTTTTTAATAATCTTAAAAATGATATTAAATAGCTTATAATATAAATATAGGAAAAGTGATACAATAATCAAGCAATTAATATAAACGTAAAAAATTATTTCTCTTTCAGAATGCTTAATATTTTATGATAAAATAAATAAAATATTTATTATAGAGAATATTTTTGTTACATTCAAAATCCCCTTGGTACATTTTAAATGTATGCTAACTACAATTGTAGCAAATGAAGAAATAATTTTTATATATATTATTATTAATGATATTGTTAAGAAATTGTTAAAATAATAAAATTCTCAAAAATAATAATTTATTTATTATAGTATAAATTTATGCATGTTTGAAAAAAGAAAATAAGCATAAAGGAAAACATTATTTCTTTTTGATGAATAGTGCATGCACCAAATATAATAATGATATAGAAATAACATGTAAATTTATAGGTTATTTAGAGAATTAACATCTATAGAAAATATATATGAAATGTGCACCTAATGAGGATGATCATTGTAATTATGAAAAATTATATTTGGATATACTTAAATATATTAAAAATATATAGTATAGTTCATTATTCTCACATAATTTAAATATATGATGATAATAACATATGTTTTATAATATATCAATACAATGGTTACACAAAATAATACAATATAGTATAATATTATCCGCAATTTGAAATATGATAATAATAAATCCACAGAACTATTAAAAACCAAATGATGATATAAGTAAAATTATGAAAAATTTTTTATTGTGAATACATTAGGAACCTTGATGTATGCACATAATGAACGTATACTGTTTTAATATATGATCTATAAAAACTGTAAAGAGCGGAAAATATTCGAGGAAAAGTTCTTGCAATTTCCTCTAAAGTTAAGATACATGAAAGTAACATAAAATGAATAAAAAATCATGTAATTATATTTATAAAAAAGGCTTATTGTAATTATTGGTGTATAAGTTTATCCAGTATGATATAATTATTTGTATATATAAATATGCATTATAAGCATGGGAAGTAAGATGTATTCATAAAGTGAATGTGTTCTCCAAAGTAATTTTACAACTTAACAATTATTTTTTCAATATGTGTTGTTAGGTGTTATTTATCTTGAAAAATATTATAGGAGTATTATAAATAGTAAGCAGAAATTTTGTAAAATGAAATATTAATTTCTTAAAGATGGAAGTATCAAAATAATGTATAACACACACAGTGCACATATTTAGATACTACATTATTGTTAAACATTATAAAATGCGACTTTTATTTAAGACATAATTTTTATATGTGACGAGTATCCTCAAAGAAGCATGTAATTATAAAAATATAAACAGTACTCATGACTTCAGAATTACATATAAAGAGAAATTAAATATAATATTGGTAAGGGATAATAATATATAAAAGGATAAATATTTTTTCAATATAATATATACCTATTATCAGATTTCAAATAAAATACAAGAAAAATTCTTAGGTAGTTTCTAAAATAAAGTGTGTGTATAAATGTATTTGTGAAATAATTTTAAAAGTTATTTGTTAATGTATATTGATATTTAGCTGAACACTGATTAATGATTTTTACAATTTGGATGATGGGGAAACAGATAATTATTACAAAAATATTAGTAATGTAGAGTTATTAAAAAATAAAAAATTTATTTTTTCTTTATGATAATTTAAAACATGTTTTTAAATAAACTCAATAATATGAGGGTCTTAAGCTAAAGCTCCTATTTATATATGTATGACGAGTATAAAAATTTATATAGGGAAGGAATAGGTAGGAAAATGTTTCTTTAAATAAGAAATCTTCAATATGTTGAGAATTATATATGGTAAAAATGCATAAATAGTGCCTATAAGTCATTTTCATCAACCTTTATATATAACATTATATTTTTAATTACCGTTCAATATACTGTTATAATATCCTTATTATCACTTATTAAATTCGTACATCATATGTATATTTATTATATCAAATATGCGAATATTTCGTAGTAGCTTTATGAGTTGCACATTAATAATATTAATTTTATATATATTTACCCTTTTAACAAGATTTGTAGTTTTTTGCACAATGCTATAATACACAATTGTAATCATTTATAACTTATAACATAATTAAGAAAAATAAAATACTTCTTTGATAGGAATAGTTGAATAAGGTATTAATAAATATTTTGTAGTTGAAAAATAAAAGACAAATAACTCCTTCAAAAGGGGGATAACATTTTGCTTTATATATTTAATAGATATACATAATAAAAGCATAATTATATTAATATATTTCGAAATAATTTTTATAGAGATGTATGTAACATATGTAATATATATTCAATTCTATATAACAGAGAAAAATATATCATATAAGGAAATCACAAAAATTCATATGAAATATTCATGCTACCTGAGAAGATATATGATGTGTCTTATTTTAGTGACATAAATAGGAATAATTATAAATATAATGATGTAGTTTTATAGAAAAATATTTTGTTAAAATATTTTAGCAACATTCTTTTAATTATATACTATAATATTGAATAACTTAAAAGTATCATATTTATGTTTCAATATAAGAATATACAAGTAAGTAACAATTAGTATATAAACGGCCTTAATTAAATAAATGACAATGTATATATAATAACTTAAACAAAATTATTTTTTTGAATACATCTATTTTATTGCATGGTTAAAAAAATTTAATTTGTGTCAATATTGTTAGCAAATTATATTTTACTGAAGAAAAGTATATATATTTTTTTTAACCTTTTTGTTATCAATAATAAATATTTTCATTTTGTTCTGTTTATCTAAAAGGGAATTTATGTATGTATAACATAAAAAAATTTTAATTATTTTTTAATGTGCTCTTAAATAATGTGTTTTATAATATTTAATCCTTGATCCAGGATCATACATAAGAAATATTTAACAAATACACCATATTTATAAATATCAATCGAATGTTTTTATTGGTTTGATGTATATTACTCTATTGTTTCTAATTAATATATCACAAGGATAAATTATTTATATAAAATTATTAATTGTTAAAAAATTATATAAGTTATAAACTTATACAAATATATATTCCAACTAATAACAATACCATTTTTACTTTGGAGATTATATCTATATTTTCCAAAATAATAAGTAAGAATAAATATATATATATTTTAGTTTGTCTATGTATCACAGAGGTATGAAATATAAAGAAAACCATATTTTTCAAATAAAACTCTCAGATGCAAAAAAAAAAAAAAAAAGAAATGGACAGAAATGTAATATTATACAATGGATCATGTAATAATTCAGGTTACGATATTATCATTATATTATAGTTTTGAGTAAAAGGATAATCGCGATAACCTTTGTATTATTTAAGTAAGTATTCGTTTGGAGAGTGATACTTCCGTACGCATTATATTAAATAAAATAAAACATTATTGCATAGCACAAATACTTGTATCATTGAAAATTTATATATCTTACATCCAGGCAATGATAATTATAATAATGGGGTATGTTTATTTAATAATATTTACTAATAATCATCATTAACCTATTTAGATATAGTTAAATTCAAGAATACAAAAAAAAAATTATTATATGTAACTTGCATAAATAGATAAATTGAAGGCTAATTAATGAATGATTTTTACCCCATACAAATTTATA